ATGTAATATAAATATATGGAAAAAGTGGAAGTTGTGTGGCACAGCGGTTATGTCTTTGAACTTTTAATGGCGAGGTCATGCGTTTGTAAAGACCTTTGTTATTCGCAGTGTGTTGTCGACGAAAACCAGTGCTGTTCCATGCAATGCAAAAGAACATGTAAAATGAAACCTATAATTATAAACTATGATTGACTGGTTCTGTCTACTAGTAAATTGGTATCCGCGGCTGCCTACTACTGTCTTTCAAGTAACGCGTTACGTTTCCATGATTACACCATGCATGGCGAAAATAATATGACAATGGAAGTATCCAGAGCACCGGTTGACCGGTATGTATGACGTCACTTATTGCAATGTTAATTTGAAATATGGAGGTATGTTATACCTCAGCGATTGAAAGCGCTATAATCCAGTAGTGTTTTATTTTAACATTATCCTATAACATTAATTTTTGTTTTCTAGACGCCCGCAAATAACCTCTGAGGCGTTTTGGTAAGTAATTATTTTTTTTCTCTCCTTTTTTGAATTTCCAAAAGGACGGTACCCCTATCTTCCCCTGCATAGTATGTTGGCGATCACGACCTCTCTTTCCAGCGAGGTTTCCTGTTAGTGTGTTATATTTAAGGGTTTCTTTTATAACATATATATATATATATATATATATATATATGCCTATATATAAAATATATAGTATAATATAATATATCACCATTGCACAAGACACGTACTGCTTCGACCTTTGTGATGACGATGATCATAATTGAGATAAATTCTTATGGGAATGAGTTGGTATGTGATAGTGCCGATTGTCGATATGTTTTGACGATAAACCTCATCATATCAACTGAATTGGCGGGTTACAATTTTCTCGTAATCATTAAAATGATAACTTTGAAATTGCCTGTGACATTCTCACCCATTCCAATTTCACCACGCAGGTAAGAACAATGCCCGCATAGCCAGTTAAATTTAATTAAATGCTAAGGCTCTTGTCTCGGGAGAACGGATCGTTGGTAATGGCGACAGAGATTTTATCATTCATATTCGTTGATCTGTTTTTAGAAAACTTAAATGGTAAAAGTAACATTCGTTTGTGTAATCAAGTCACATTAGGGAACTGGTTTCGAAAGAGGGATACTACATATCGTGCCAGTGTACACAACACAGCGTAAGATATCGCTAATTTGAAGGCGATATACCATCCATCACGTGCTTCTTATGACTCTCAGTGTAAAGTTGTTAAAGTATCACAAAGTTAATGATAAAATAATGTCAAACTTATCGTATTTTAATTTAAAAAAAAACAAAAAAACAAAAAAACGTAGCCTTACGATCTCTTCTTGTCGATTAAACGATGACAGCAAATTTTATTTTCTCAAGCGAGAAAGTTATTATAGCGCCAAGCAGTATAGGAATGCAGCGATTGGACAATGTTACCAATTTGTTTTGAAGAGCAGCCGCCAATTGCGGGGTGCGGCCCTGCCTATTTGCTGGAAAAGGCGGCGCAAGCAAGTCTAGCTGAACCCTAAGCATAGCCAATACCAACACCGCATGAGGCGTTAGACAGTATTGTTATTGATTCCTTTCCCCGTCTAATTAAATCACTTTGCTGCCTCAACGTAATCACGGCATCATTATCGCCGTCGGTTTTGTACTACGAACATTTCATTTGAGGGTTTGTTTTTAAGTTGTCGCGCGCACACAATACAAGCATGGCGTATTAATTGATAGTAATAGGATGTTGTCTCAACTGACGTCTGTCCTGTCTGCATTATTTACCTGGTCCTACCCATAGAGGTGTAAACCACCACTATGTCTATT